TAAAAAATAAAGGATACTGCACTAAATATTGAAGTAAGATTTAACATAGTTGCATCGTTTCTTTTAATTATTTCATAAAARTTTTTGATTTCAGGTCATGAGATACGACTGAAATTGAATAATTACTTTTGGCTCTATTTCAAGTCACAGCCGAAATAAGATATACCAATGAATTTTGAATTTTTTCGTTTATGTTTTAGACTTAAGCTGTTTAATTTGTTTTTTAATATACGTCTCATAAGTTGTTCTTTTTTACCTATTAAAGGAATAAATGAAAAAAGTGAATTTTTATATGATTTGTTAATTTAAATAATTTCGATAGTACTGGCTCTATTTCATCGCACATCACTGTATAGTGTAGTAGTAACGTTTACAATTTTCATATTGCTATCTCAGTGTAAATCTCATATTCACTATTAATTATTACTATCTTATTTATAATAATAAAATTATTAATTTTAAGTGTGTTTGGCGGGATTAGTTCACATCTGCAAAAATCATAGATATGGCAACTCGAAAACTGGATAAACTGTAAGCTTGACGGACTACCATCTTCCTTTCTTCTTGGCGCATCATCACGGCTACAAGCACGTCCTACCATTAGTAAAATAAATTACGTATTATTGTGGGCATCCCACAAGTTAATAAAATTTTAGTTAAATAAGTGATTTACAACGACTTTTGAGTTGTAAGCACATTTTTTTTATAAAATTATTTGAATTTTTCACAACTATTGTTTCAAACTATTTTTCATGAATTTTCTTTTCAATAAAGTAATATTTTCGCTATAATCCTGGCCGTGGTTATCGTGTTATGTGGTTATGTGATTAAGTAAACAACAACAAAATGCAGTATGATAAAATAACCAACTTTGACCAACCTAGACCCTTGTTTACAGATTATGTGGTTGTTTGCTTATTTCCAGTGTTAGAAAGTCGTTGGAATTTTACTAAATGGAATTTTACAAATAATAAATAAAACTAAGAGAATGGCATTTCCTTTTAGATTTTCTTATTGGAAATTCTGCTATTAACAGCTGTTTTTTGTTTACAATCAGCAAATTAAAAGCGATATAAAAAACATCAAAAAGCATCACAAAGCATCAAAAACCATCAAGAATTATCCAAAATCATCAAAGTAAGTAAGAATCACAAAGTACAAAATAAATATAAATTTTTTGTCATTTATTTATACTCCAATTTTAGTGTCTACAGAAATACGAAAGCGCCGGCGAGAAAAGGAGGTGAAAAAATGGACGGAAGCCGAAATCAAAACAGTGCTGTGCTATATGGAGAAACACCGAAACATCGAGGCGAGTTTTCGACACATTACTTATTTATTTTAATATAATTACATCTCCTTTAATTTCAGAAACCAACAGCGAAAATCTATTATAGTAAGTTGCTTGCAGAAACAAAAATTGTTCCAGAAATCGTTTTCGCATGAAAATGATAATGAAATCGTGAGACGGTGTTCTGAATACCACTTTGCGATTACGAATACACATTTTTCGAACATGAAATCGGTGCGATATGGCATGTTCT